GGACAGTGATGGTTATTCCTCCTCTCTGTTACTGTGGGCTACAAGCTACCACTGCTCTCTGTTAGCATCCAAAACCTGGAGTGGAATATACAGGTGCTGGTCATAAAATGAGAATAACATGAAAAAGTTCATTTATTTCAGTAATTCCATTCAAAAAGTGAAACTTGTATATTATATTCATTCATTACACACAGACTGATATATTTCAAATGTTTATTTCTTTTAATGTTGATGATTATAACTGACCACTGAAAACTCCAAATTCAGTATCTCAGAAAATTAGAATATTGTGAAAAGGTTCAATATTGACTACACCTGGTGCTACAGTCTAATCAGCTAATTAACTCAAAACACCTGCAACGGCCTTTAAATGGTCTCAGTCTAGTTCTGTTGGCTACACAATCATGGGGAAAACTGCTGACTTGACAGTTGTCCAAAGACGACCATTGACACCTTGCACAAGGAGGGCAAGCCACAAAAGGTCATTGCTAAAGAGGCTGGCTGTTCACAGAGCTCTGTGTCCAAGTACATTAGTAGAGAGGTGAAGGCAAGGAAAAGATGTGGTAGAAAAAAGTGTACAAGCAATAGGGATAAACGCCCCCTGGAGAGGATTGTGAAACAAAACTCATTCCAATATGTGGGGGAGATTCACAAAGAGTGGACTGCAGCTGGAGTCAGTGCTTCAAGAACCACCACGCACAGACGTATGCAAGACAAGGGGTTCAGCTGTTGTATTCCTTGTGTCAAGCAACTCTTGAACAAGAGACAGCGTCAGAAGCGTCTCACCTGGGACTGCTGCTGAGTGGTCCAAAGTTATGTTCTCTGGTTAAAGTAATTTTGCATTTCCTTTGGAAATCAAGATACTAGAGTCTGGAGGAAGAGAGGAGAGGCACAGAATCCATGTTTCTTGAGGTCCAGTGTCAAGTTTCCACAGTCAGTGATGGTTTGGGGTGCAATGTCATCTGCTGGTGTTGGTCCACTGTGTTTTCTGAGGTCCAAGGTCAACGCAGCCATTTACCAGAAGGTTTTAGAGCACGTCATGCTTCCTGCTGCTGACCAACTTTATGGAGATGCATATTTCATTTTCCAACAGGACTTGGCACCTGCACACAGTGCCAAAGTTACCAGTACCTGGTTGAAGGACCATGGTATCCCTGTTCTTAATTGGCCAGTAAACTCACCTGACATTAACCCCATAGAAAATCTATGGAGTATTGTGAAGAGGAGGATGTGATACACCAGAACCAACAATTCAGAAGAGCTGAAGGCCACTATCAGAGCAACCTGGGCTCAGAACACCTGAGCAGCGACACAGACTGATCCACTCCATGCCACGCTGCATTGCTGCAGTAATCCAGGCTAAAGGAGCAACAACTAAGTATTGATGCTGTACATGTTCATACTTTTCATGTTCATACTTTTCAGTTGGCCAACATTTCTAAAAATCTTTTTTTTATTGGTCTTAAGTAATGTTCTAATTTTCTGAGATACTGAATTTGGGGTTTTCATTAGTTGTCAGTTATAATATTCTAACTAATAATCAATATGGTTTTAGAGCAAAAAATTCTACATCTATGGCTCTTATGGACTTTATTGAACAAGTAACTACTGCTGTGGACCAAAAACAATATTGTGTAAGTGTTTTTGTTGATTTAAAGAAGGCTTTCGATACTGTTGATCATAATATTCTAGTTAATAAATTACATAAATATGGTATTAGAGGATTAGCGTTACAGTGGGTGTGTAGTTACTTGGAAAACAGGAAACAGTTTGTACAGATGAATGATGTGAGATCAGATCTCTGCACCATCACATGTGGAGTTCCTCAAGGATCTGTACTTGGTCCAAAGTTATTTATTTTAT